AAATCGAGTCGGTTCTTTATTTTGGCATGGTGAGGTCAAATGAATGACGCTACTTGGATCCTGTATGCGCGTTTCGGAGACGCAGCACACATCGATGGCGCGAGATTCTAAAGTTTTAGCTAAGGAAGCCTGCTGTCCTATTTGGCAAAGTGTTCGTACGTTAAAAGCTCCTACGTGTAGTTTAGAGCGTGGTTTCAGGAGACCAGGAATGGCGTTCCACGTACTCGAATCGTTTGCCCTAGCGGTGCGAGGTGATAAAGAGACGTGAGGAGGGTTAGTCGGGAGGATAAGAGAAGTATTAGGAGGTGTAGGAAGGATTTGAATGTGACCACCTTGGTCTCTTGTGCTGTTACGGGTATGAGGGCTGATGTCACTTCCCGGCTGCCCACACCGTGGAAGGGTATTTCTTGAGGAACCTGAAAAGGAAATTGGATTAGTGTTGGTCTTGACGACCTGGGAGCGTGACCGCAGAGCCCAAGGGACAACTGCTTGAGGCCGGTCGCGCACGGCCTTTTTGTGGAAGGTTTTTGACGTGTTAGCTCCGTTCTTCAAGGGGCCTTACCGCCGGAGACGGAAATCCGTGAGGTAAGGTGAGGTGTGCATTTTTAGGGTCGACCTTTTCTAACCCCACCCCTCCTTGTGGGAAGGCAGCATCGCTGTCATGCTGGTTGTCCGAGGGAAACACCTTACTGCTGTCACACCTCTCTACAGTCAGCAGTACGACTTCGCCCTCAGACCTTGAGTTGCTGCTTTTAGTCTTACCGTTCGCCAATCGACCTGCCTGGCATGGTAGAACCTGCAGGAACATATGTTCCAGCCAATATAGCTCGGTTGGGTCATCACGATAGGCAAGCCCGATCACCGCGTCAAGGTAGCAGCTTCGATCGGGTTTTCATGGATGGAGAATACATGATCCTCACAATCGATTAAAATACTTTTCACATGAATAGTGATAAGATATACTTAAAAGTTAGAATCCAACATTTCACATTGTTAGCCAACGAGACAAATATTTTCATACACCAGAATTGAATTTATGCTAATATATTGATATAGGAAGATTTACAGAGATTGTAGAATTTTTATATTTTAAATCGCGAACTGATCTTAATTACACCATCATGAAAAACCCATGAGCATTGAACAGCCGTTTCATCCTAGGATAGTGTGAGTAATCTCACTGGACAATTTACTTTGTTAATTGAACCAATTAGGATAGACTATTCGATCATTCTTGTGATGGTGGAGATTTGTAGCTCAAGTGGATGATTTTGATGGAGTTTTGTTCTCTGAGCTGGATGGTTTGGTCGTGGGGCTTTCATCGTTCTTCTGAACGATTTTGGTTTGATCACTGGTATTATCGCGGCTTCTAGTCTTTGTATCACTGCTTCTGCGATCAGTCCTGATATTGGTGACCCCAATGGGATCAATTTGGATTCGCTATGTAGACGACACATTCGTCATCGTCAAAAAGAATGAGCTGGAAAACACTTACAAGCTGATCAACAATGTCTTCGATGACATCAAGTTCACAATGGAACAGGAGTCAAACAACAAACTATCGTTCCTGGATATATTAATCACTAGGATCGACACAGGAGAACTGGAAACTCAAGTGTATAGGAAACCGACCCATACAGATTAAATTCTCAACTACAATAGCAACAACCCAAGAGCTCACAAAATCAACTGCGTACACAATTTGTTCAAGAGGGCGAGAACACACTGCAACACACTAGCAGCACGAAGAAGTGAAGAGAAATACCTGAAGGATGTATTTCAGAAGAACGGCTACCCAATCAACTTCATCAAAAAATACCAACCGCACACAGCATTAGAACTCAAGTCAAGCACAAAAATCAACAAAAGGATAACCCTACCATATATACAAGGAATATCAGAAACCGCAACAAGACTGCTGAAAACCTTCGGAATAGGTGTAGCACACAAACCGACAAAATCACTACAATCAATCCTATGCAAACCAAAAGATGAAATAACAAAGGAAAACAAATCAAACATCATCTACAAAATAAATTGTGCCAACTGCGAAAAACACTACATCGGACAAAGCGGACGCCCCCTTCACCTGCGCATACATGGACATCAATTAGCAGTCAAGTGGCATGATATCTCCTCACTTATATCAATATACGTGGACAACTGCGGACATTCATTCGATTGGAAAAATGTGGAAATCTTAGACAGAGGAAACTCCAAAAACACCAGAGAATTTTTAGAAGCCTGGCACTCAGGTCAATCAGTAATCAACAAGCACATTGAAATCGATCCAATTTATCAACCAATCAGGAAAATTATGCACAAATATAGGAACAAAAATCAAACCAATGGGAGACACAACCAAAACAAAGAAGTAAACAACGACAAATTTAAGGTCAATAAGAACCAATCAACGTCGAAGTGTACAGAACAAGCGGTGGAACACATATGGAGAAATTCGAACACTTCGCTTCTATCTGAAGTTTGTGCTGATGGTGTCGTTCAGAAGAACGACGAAAGCTCCACGACCAAACCATCCAGCTCAGAGAACAGAACTCCATCAAGATCATTTTTGTCGTAATTTTAGATTAGTGAAAATCGTATCTAAAGAATGATCTGTTTGTTGAATAGTAATATTCTTTTTAGTCACAGGTTAGGTATGCGTACTGGTTCTTTGATATTTCAGTGAGACATAAGCTGCTGATTGAGGGAAAAATCGTATTTGTTGTCTGAATAAACCTTATTTTCTATATTAACCAACGCAATCCTATCGGACTGTAGAATCAAGCTAGATCGAGTTAAAGGTTATCAATTTAATAACATGAGCGTGAACTAGAACATTGATATTCTAGATCTGTAGACTACACACATAGCTAAAAATCACATTCTAATGAAAATATGACAAAAACAGGTACAAAAGTTTTGTATGATGAAAATCTATTTATTTGCATATTAAAAAGAGCTATGAAATTAACAACAGACTAATACTACTACTTACTTATAACTAGGCAATTGAGCTCGTTTCTGACGGAATGATTTTATATTTTGAACAAGATTATTTAGTGATAAGCATTGAGGAATTAAACCACCTTGAAGGAGATAAAAAGACTTTTAAATAATGTAATAAATGGTTTTATTGTACATATGTTGATGATAATTTATTTTGTCTATCAAATGAGTGATTACTGGTTACAAATTTTTCTGGAACACTCTGAAGCCTCAAGACCGTTAATGATAACATGTTATACACGTGCTGATGCACATATTGGCTATCTAGAAATCAAAGTAGTGGTTAGCATATGAGTAGATTAGCAAAATAAAATATGACAGTCAAACCAAAGCATAATATCAGTTCCTGACATCATTGACTATTGGGAATGAGCCGCGTAGGGGAGTTTCGATTCTATGATTCACTTCTGTAGTATATGCGGATATCTCACAACCAAATGTATCCAAGAACTTAGGTAACTTTTAAAAATTCAGAAAATGTTGAGGATTGCCTATGAAGTCTTTTTTCAGTGAATCGCATGTTTGTGATTGAACTCTATGAAGAATAAAAGGATAATCCATGGCTAGATTGGGCGAAAACATTCAGAATGAGAGATGTATTATTCTTTTTGATTAGCAACTCATTATTCGGATAATTGTTAATGAAATAATTTTTTGGAAAAGTTGTATGTGCATACGATTCTAGAAATACGTGAAACAATTAAAAGAGAACTGAAGTTTCTCATTTTCAACGACTTTTAGAGATCTCTTGTCAAAGGAAATAAAAATGGAACAATTATACTTGTCGAAAAGTAGGGGAGCTTTGAAAAGAATAACATGGATGTATTTTAAATTCTGTATATTAAAATTGTTATAATCCCACTTTGTATTGAACAAACTACAAACAAATAAGTATCTTCCTGTACCATTCAGTTACTAGTAAGTACAGCTAAGCCTACACACAAACATATATACAAAACAATATAAAAATTTTAATGAAACTAAATGTGATGGAATTTTAAACCACAATAATTGATTGACAAATTGAAAATAATTAATATTTACCTGGAACTCTTTGATGCAAAGAAGTTTCAGCAGTTTTTGATCGGCCAACTGTAAAAAGTTCCTAACAAAAAATGTCAAATAATATCACAGTACATAATAATAGGTAACTAAATACTTTTATAACAGGGCGAAAATTGAGCAAAGCTGGAGTTTTGGAACTGTTCTACCTGAAATTATTGTTTATAATTCTGTTATACAATTACTAAATACTTGAATTAGTACGCCTTTGGATTTCCTCAATTGTCAGCTTTCGTAGCAGGTGCCGAAGTAGGTAGCTTAAACCAAACAGACAGACATTTAGGTGGGAATTTTAGTATTCCGACTCAGCGAACAGATAATGGTGAACATCTGCTGCAACTGTGCTCAGACAATCGTTTACTTCTAACAAGCACTACTTTTAAGCATAAGGAGAGACATAGTCTAATATGGCGACCTCCTGTGCCAAACCAACGATGGACTCAAATAGATCATATTACAATTAGTCATAGTTGGAGAGGTTTGATAGAAAACTGCCGCTCGTTCTGGAATACATATTAAAACTCTGATCATGCTCTAATACGAGCACGCATTTGCTTGCGCCTCACCGGATACAGAAAAACCACATTAAGAAGATCCATTAGACTTGCACTCAGTGACATGAAAGCCAAAAATAGATTCCAGGAACAACTGAAGTCACACTTCGGCAATTCTGAAAACGACGCTGACCCGTAGGTTACTTGAAAAGATATACAAACAGCTGTGGGAACAGCAGCGACATATATTAGTGATCTGAACCAAAAAATCATGGGATGTCTGCTAAGTGTATTGCACTGATAGATCCTCGTAAACTTATCCCATCAGGCTCCGAACACGATAAAGAGCAGAACAAATCAGATCTAGATGAACAAAAAATCTAAAAAACGACCGTGAGCAGTGGTGGGTAACGAAAGCAAAAAAAGGAATCGATCACAACGGCGTGGGTGTATACACTCTTTATCTCTCTTTAAACCGTCAGATCAAATTTACTTTATACCTCTCTTTCTACGAACTAATTCTTTCTTCTTGTATTACATCCTTATGCGCAATCTTTCTTCTATATATTACTACCATTGAAGTAACTGACTCTGTGAATTTGGTGTTCATCTTGTTGTGCTGATGACGTATAGCAACTTGGACTGATACATATATGTGCCTGGTCCTAAGTTGTAGATGACTGACGGACTATTTTTTTCAATCTACTAGCCGGTTAGGTTCGTGCATAAAATGGTAGCGTATCAGTATCAACTTCCGGTGACCGCAGGTCACAAAAGTAATGACCCAATTGAAGATTAATCTGACATCCACCCTTAAAGTGTTCAAGTTTTTCAATCCTTACTATTCATTGTTCAGTGGTGATTGTGCAGAAATCATTGGATTACTTTTTATACAACATGATGAACTATAGTATATGTTACAATTACTAGTTGTAAATAAACTGGAGGGAATAATGTAGGAGGACTTTAGAGCTAAGCTAACAGAAGCTGATATTAATATATATGTGATTAGTATTAGTTGAAGCACACAGTTCTTGAGTAGTGATGGTGAATTATGAGTAGTGTCTTGAACAGGTAGTATTATTTTTTATCTACAAGCAGATGTGTAGCTAGCATGACACTACATACAGTTACTGAGAAGAATTAATGTTGTCCCTTCACGTTGTTTCAATGAATGACTGACTGACGAAAATTAGTCAGATTCGCAAAACTTGTTTTAATCGCTTGTTTCCGGGATTCTACAGACGTTTCATAGAATACTAGGTAATGAAGAAAATTAAGTAAAAGTCATCAACTTTGATTATATCAAACTGTGGAATCGATGGTTAAGACAGCAAGGGAAAGTTACTTGACAATGATAGTTAAACAGGAAACAATGTTCAAAGTAGATGTGCAGCATGAAACCACCTTTACGTTGATCGAGATGATGATTATCAAATTACATTTTTTATTGATGTCTAATAGTTGAACACTCGAACTCCGTGCAGAAAACAAAAGGTGTGGAGTGCGAAAGCTTTCGTCGAAGCTTAACTAATGTATAGAAAACTAAGGCATTTACACGTTCAAATATAACCCTTAGATTCTAAGGACTTCTGAAAACACATTGGAATTAGTGATATAACTGCTAAGTATTCAATAAGGATTTGACATATAACACATTGTTTTCTATGATTCTCTTGACGGATTCCAAAGAACATTGACTGGACGAAGCACATTAAGCATTCTTGTAGTCTTTAGGTTTTTTCGAGGAAATACTAAGGGCTACCAAAAGTTGTTTTTGTTAAGAATATTCGAAAATTTCAAATGGTGTAATTTGAGTTATAACTTTTATACGACGAAATCCTGTCATAAACCTAGAATCTTAGAGTTTATTATCTTCATTAGATAACTTGTCTTTCGGTATGTTATATTACCCTATGTTTCTCAAGGTTACTAACAAACTGTAAGTGAGTACAAGTTATAAAGTAATATTGCACTTCGTACATAATATGAGAGGCTCTTTTTGTAAAAGACAAGTTTTCTGTCTTTTGATGCTGTATAATTAGGCTTGCAGTGTAGTGAACACGAACACCAGTGGGGACAATCCGATGTATTCAACACAAAATTACAGGATTTATTAATAAAATCTAACAATTATAAAGTAAATGCTTAATTTGCAAAATGTCCATCAATTGTCTCAAAATGACCCAGACTTCATTGTTCTTGCATTTTCATACAAATTGCATCATGTCCCATTCGTTACTGTTCGATCCTCTTGTCTCTCTGCTGCCAGACCTTCTGTTCACGACTAACATCATATACTACTTATATCAATATAAGTAGCGCACACCACAGTAGCACTAACGTTTGGACTTAACCTTATTTTGGCACTGATCTAATTTATCACTCTATAAGGAAGATGTCGAGCAATCAGATGGACGGAGGTCAATAAAAAACCAGTCGACAGAAATACAATAATACGTGAAGATTATAAGCAAAAAGAATAATCAGAACGAACCGACTTAGCGGAATAATCGAAAAGCTCACTCCTACTTGAATCAAACACTAATAATGCTGTATTTAGAAAGATAATAAAAGCCTCGTAGTTACACCATTCAGTTAATAGAATGAGACACTACAAAAATCCTCGTCTTGAGCTATAAATCTTCCTTATTATTTCAGTATTCCAAACTTAAATGTTGCCAAGTTCAACTACATTACTAGAGTGGCTAAATTTGATAATATTTGTAATAACTCGTCACTGATTGATCTCAGCAGGGGTAACAATGAAAACCAGGAGGCACTGGACAGTTTTTCTTTTCAAGCATGGGACTCATCATCAATGTATACTCATGACTTACTAACAAATTATACTAATCTCCACAAAACCTCATCATCAATACCATAATTGTATGTACACTAGTGACTTACTTTGAGATGAATCCTCAAGGTTTTAGAAAATAGTCATAACTAGTGCTCTATAGTATTCAGTGTAACTCCACCCCAACTAAGATTAATCAGCGACAAGTGTAACCTAAAAGTCAAACCAATTTACACGAAACTCTATTCAATTAAAAATCAATTCATTAAATGCTACTTACTCGAATAGCTGACCAAATTGATTCTGAGAGAGGTGAATGAATAGGTACTAAGCTTATTGTGTGTATTACGAAGAGAAGCATCTCATCAAGACTTGGTAATTTTCTAGAAAAGCAACCATAACAGTGAAAAGATTGGAAATATATAGGTAAAGGATAACAAAACATATGAACTGAATTGTACTGCACGACTACTTTTGTAAAGAGAAAACTCTCGATTTTTTTAAAAGCGAATTGACAACAGAGTGTAACATATCATGAACCAGACAGTCATCACGATCAACGGGAGGGGGTCACGGTTACATCAAGAACTGACTCAAGTTAGAAATATGAACTATTGGTTTCCCACTGAGTTTAAATGCAACACGTTTACAGTAAAACCTGAAGGTCCCGATTGTTGGTAAGAGCCATGCGCTAAATAAAGACAGTTGTTTAATATTTATTAGATGTCAACGGTACCCAACTATGGCTGTTACCTTAAGGTGATGGTTGGACTTGTATATCGTGATGACCTAACGGAGCTATAATGGTTGAAACATTTCTTTCTTTCAGTCCGACTATACTAAGAAGGTTAATTGGAGAGCGATAAAACTAAAAATAGAAAACGAATGGTCCAAGAGAAGTCATACTAACAATAGTACAGGGGTGTGATGGCAGTAAGGTATATCCCTCAGACAACCAGCATCTCCGGCTATACGGCCTTCTCATGACAGAATGAAGAGGTTTGAAAAGATCTCAAGCAGTCGTCTCTTAGACTCTGCTGTCACGTTCCCAGGTCATCAATACCACTACCACCTCTGTTCAAGCACACCAAGGAGAAGTAGTCTTCTGAGGTGTGGACAACCATTAAGTGAGAACCTTCCTTGCACCTCTACCTCAAGCAACACTCGGAGTTTCAATGGTTCAAGCATCTGATCTTAATCCGTCCTGAACACTACATCTTCACACTAATATCCAAAACCAGCTGAAATAAATAACTAGCAATAGTTGTGGTATGTTTTGGTTCACAAAAACATTTTAAAAATACAAGCGGTAACTTACATGGCTTCTTTGTAAGCATTTAATAGAATCGGCTCACAATGTGTTGGTTTTTGAAGTTGTTGAATAAGTTTAGCATCAGCTTGACTGGCAACCAATAAAGAACGTTCAAACTTCACCAATAACTTCTCCAAACTAATCATATCATCGTGAACATTATGATGATATCGATTGCGACTTGTAATTGAATCGAATGTATTAATTACAGCTAACGTTAACTGAATATGATTTAGAAGGTCGAAACGACCCGATTTACAAATTGGTCTGGAAAAAAGTTAATCAAGAATCAAAGTGTTACAAATGATGGCAATGTATAGAGGGGAAAGGAACGAACGTGAACAGCATATCAACAAGAAGTGTGCAAATCTTTCATTTAAAATGTATGCCCTCTCTCGTCTCGAGTGGAAAGCAAAAGAATTTAGAAACAAATTATGTGATAAATACAACAAGAATTATACATGAATAGACAGATCAAATGTTTAATGAAACCAGATAACTGTACTAGTTTCTTGGAAATATGTATATATTAATTAACTATGTTCGCGTCCAACTTCATTTCTTCCTTCGCCTTTCTTATATAGTGTACCATACTACTCGCTAAAATTCAATAGCTCATGTTATCGTCAATCATTTTAGAACGCGTAGCTCATGATATTTCTTGGTTGATAACTGTAAGTACTTATATGTATTTTCGAATGTTGAATCTATTTCATTGTTGTAATTTTCTCACTTACCATTCTTAGTAGCTTTTATTCGGTTCATTTTTTGTTCATGAGGAATGTCTTAATGTCTAACAATTTTCACAATTGATACTGTATAACCCTCATTTCAATTTGTTGACTGACATACTGTTACTTATTATTATAGTAAGTTCTGATAATTGTTTCTAAGATAACTGCATAAAGAATACATCTTGTCGTTGATTGTGCTTTAAAGCATCCCTAACATCTTAGACGATTCATGTTTTAAAGTTTGTAGACTTTGTTCATGTTATCTTACCATTAATAGTATAGTTTTTTTGCAAACAGATCTTTTGTTTTGATTCTTGGATTTGACGCGTCATTCAATCGTTTGGTTAAAATGAAATACTATATTCTCTAACTGGTGTCCCTAGGACCGGAACCTAGCTTTATATTTAAGGCACTCGGTTTTTACCATTATTACTATTATTAGCTCATTCACCAGGTAGATTTCTCTACTTGGCCTTAAGCCACATATTAAGTGTGGGGGCTAATGATACCGATTGGTTGTCCAAACCGAAGAAGGTAGGATGAGATTCGTACCAACTTACTAGGAAGTAAGAGAGCCTAAATCTGTAAGCCAGCTCTTCACTTTTAACCACTAGGTCCTACTTCCGAACTCCGCTTCACTCATTTCGTTTTGGTCAGCAGATGAGTAGAGGAAAATAAAGTCAATAAGCCAAAAATTGTTTTTTAAATAACTTACATGAATAATTCCTTAATTTGATTTCGTAACAGATCAGCCCATTTTGCCTTGGTTCTTGGTGGTTCAGATAATTCAGGTAACTCATAGTGTATCAACTCAGAGATATTTAGTAAGTTTTGTTGGATTTTAGAGAGTGATGCCTTTCAAGAAAAAATAGAGTTGAAACATAGCATAAGTCTTCACCCAAAGTTGTTATTCACTGTGTTTTATTATCCTGATAGCATAGAAAACAATATGGTCTAATCTCTGTATACAAACTCAGTTCGATTCTAGCCATTACACGTCAAAGTTGGTGATAATAAAGAGTAGTAAGATTGTATTGAATTAAATGGTTCGAAATATAAGTTGGCAAATTTAATTTAAAACAATTAGTCCCTTTGATAAATTTCGATAATGCAATAAGAAGACGTAGTTTATCAGAATTATGTGATATATTTGCCTAATATATTTCGAACAATCTGATCACACATATACTTGTTAAGAACATTTATATATGAAAAATTAAAAGGTCAACTAGACAGGTTAAGGGTAGGTCATAACAAAGGAAAAAGTATTAAAGTACACAAAAACAAATGTGATTACCAGTCTGGATAGTAAATCAGTACTACCAGGGTAGGTTAAGTGTAAGTACAAATTGTTTTTGAACACATAAACGGGGTTTCAATTTTCGTATAGCCAAGGCTTCAATAAACCTTAGTATACGTCCTTGAAGGCTTTTGTACAACACAACAAATGATGGTTTGATATCAACCTTATGACCCGTCTTAATCAAATATTTCGCAATGGATGATGATGTCTGTCTATCCTGTGATTTTATTTCACCATTGGAATTCATCTGATTTTGCAACCATTTTGGTATATGTTCACTCACCCTTAATTGCAAATCACGGTTGCTCCTCCCTACGTACGTGTTTCCACACATACATGTAAATTTATAGACACAATGGGATGTGACACAATCGTTTTCATGCTGTTTGGGCTTTTGGTGAAACATAGACCTTGTCTTTTCGATGATGACAAGTTGGGCTGCATAAAATGTTCGGTTGATAGCTAATTTAAGTCTCTGTTTCAACATGAGACTATTTATGTCACCTCTGAATGGTAGCGTAATATAAACTCGCTTTTTGGGTGCCAGAAGCGTCATAGGTCTAGTCATATTGCAACCCTTCCAGCGGTTTATGAACTTCAAAGGGTAACCATTATTGATTAACGCATCAGTCAAGAGCTTCACCTCTACTTCAATAGCATCACTAGTACAAATACGATTGATCCTATTGAATAGGCTCTTTATTAAACCACGTTAATTTTCATAGTCACTGCCCTATTCAGGATGTTAGATGACTTTCGGTGTTTGACCAACGTTGTCTCTGGAGGATTGCTGACATGCAGTGGCAACACCATTTTAGTAATGCAGAAATTCGGCGACGTGTGTTTGGGCACAGAAAAAATAATTCAATTGGTGTCACTATCTTGAAATACCGACTTCGGTTGCTTGGACATATCTTACGGATGTTGTCCCAGCAAATTCCACATCGCACATTACTTTCTGACGCTGGGACCAGTTGGACAAAGCAGAGGTAGTTAGTGTATGACATTGTCGTGGCATCAAAGAAATCCGTACAGGACGGGCATCTGTTGGCACTCCACGACTTCCTGGTAAGAATCCTAGGGATGGTGCAATTCAGTGGTTTGAGACGTTATCAGACAGCTCAGAATAGAAGCCGGTGGCAATCCGTCTGTAATGTTCTTTTACTTTCTTCACAAAAGTGAATAACTTATTTAACTGAAGGAATTCTTTCTGGTTATACTTTCCCGAACTAAACTGCTTCTCCCATTATTATTGTTATTATTATTATTTCACCATCACACACTAATTCCAATTCATTTTTGTACTTTTTTATTGCACTCACTTTTCTTTCTCTATCTTTTTCACCTCATACTTATGGTGTGGTGTAAACATATTTGGTTGCTCATCGTACCAATGTTCATGTGTTCAAGTAATTAAATAAGATTCCTCGACCGCACTGGTTATATGTGTTACGTATCCCCAACCACATACTACCTCAGCGAGCGATATTTGGTGGTGGAGTATGTTGGGATAACACTAGAGGCGGATAGACAAAAAGAACATGGAACCAGTTCATGAAATAATTGAATGTTGGACCAAGTTGTATTGGTAGGAACAGGTTACTTGATCGGAGACTGGTTGATTATCGTAAAGAACATTAAGTGACATCGCTCGGAATCAGTTGTGAAGTGATAGATGCATTTACCGTCTTTTTTAGACCTTATGTTGAAAAACTCACTTTTCATTAGGCGGGCTCATGTTTTTGAACCACATTTATACCTAATTCTCCCTACCTTTAGTGACACTGTTACTACTACTAATCTGTCACTTGTTTTAATAGTTTGATCTTGTTGTATTAACATGGTGTGACAAATTGAACTGATCCACATTGTGGTAGGCTATACATAGCCTAGGACTGACTGAATCATGCTCATTGAAAATAATAACAAAAAGCCCATTCTCGAAATGTAATATGAGGCCAAAACATTCAATCCCTCAGTAATAGTGGGGGTTACTATTGGCATCGATTACTCTCTAGTGAGAAATCTGTGCATTCAGATGTCTGATAATGATCAGTTCAAATAAAAACGTTACTTACATGCTCTTTCAACATGAAATAATCATCAAGTAAGGGATTTACAGATACATCCATTGACTGCAATAAATCCGTACACAGGTCATGTGATAAAATTTTTCCGTGGTTTTTATTTTCAGATGGGCTAAAAAGAATTGAAACAAGTATAAATCGATTAGAATAATAAATTGAACTCAGTACTCATATAAACGTTTATGTACTAGGAGTCCTAAATTGGAATGCTTGTCTGAAAGGAGGTAGAATGTGATTTGAACCGAAAATTCACTCACTGCGATTGGAGCAATTGAGATAAATTGTGATACGAATGAATGTTACTGCGTTTTCTGAGGCAGTTGATTTAAAATTAGGAAAACTTTATGATAAGTCTTGCTAATTGAACGCTATACTCGGTTCCTAAGCTATTCTCGTAACCCACAAGCTAGAACTACACAGCGACCTGAACGAGAGAAAAGGCGCAAAATATGCGAGAAGCATTTTACTCCAAAGGTTCGTTTTAGTACAGAAAATATAGGGTTTTTGTAGTATTTTAGATGTCCTTGGGTTTCCCGAAAATTTTGGAATGCTACTAAACATAGTAGCAGTATAGTAATCAGCCAATCAGAAACTCCACGTGTGACTTTTCACTTTCTTGATGTTTCTGGCTAAACTTCTAGTGAACGCTGACTGGATAAAATGCTTCTTTGTGTTTCCTGAGCCTTTCTTGTCTTTTGCGAGAAGTTTTCTATATCACCCCAACACTTTAATTGTCATCATAGATAATATTATCAGCAATGTGCCTGCTTTAATTATAAAGCTTTGGTGCTGAAAGCTTTCTAATAAGGTGAAATTTAAGTGCATAAGGCAGTGAACCAAGGTTAGAAGAGCAAACGCATAAGTGCAACAGAGAAAGTTACGAACTGTTTAACCACAGTCAGGTACAAGACAATTAAATAAACTGTAAAGTAGTTGTTTGCAAAGATCATATATGTTTTCTTTTTATTTGCTATCACACCTATCTCAAGGCTAAATGATAGCTGAGGGACTAAAAATGAGGAGTCCCTATGGGAGCAGTGGGTTAAACACCTAGTCATGGTCTCACCTCACATGTCATTATCTGGACCGCTGGGGACAGATATATAAACAACCATGATCTGTATACACCACAGTTCAGTTTTAGCAATTAAAAGCTTCCAACACACTTCAATCTTTTTACCTTTATAGTGGGCCTGATCAGTCTCTGGAAACAATATCGTAACTGCATCGGATCGAAGACCATAACGACGCTGAACTATACAAAGCAATATTAAGGACAACTAGAGTGAACTTTGGCTACAGCAAAAAGTACACTTGATTCTGTTGAAGTGATTTGAATGTTGATTAAAAAAACGGTAACTCCTTATGAAAATAACAGAGTAATCCTTTTTGGTATATATAAACACCACCAAGAACTGAATATTGCTGGAACTTGTTAGCCAATTCAATAGGTATGGACTAGCAAATTGTTTCAAGTATCAACACCTGTGTGTAGCCGGATAAGTGATTAAATGGTATTCAAGTCAATATCAGGGTTTCTGGTAACAGTTGAGTTCAACTAACAAAGATGTAGACCTGGATCAGTAAAGATAGTTAACACGTCACACATGCCCAGTTCTTCCTAATAGTGATACTAGTTTCAGTGTATGGATAAGGTAAAAGAGACCAAGAAATAGCATTCACCTACACAGTTATTGACCTTGATTTAAGTAATATGGGAGAGTCTAAGTTTCCTAACAATGATTTGCATTTTAAGGAAGATCACTGAATAAAAGCAATACTTGATGCAATTAAAAACTGGTCTCAAACATAATGATAGATTGGCTTTTCCACGTATACGTACTATTCCAATGTTGTTAGGGTCGTTCATGTTGAGAATTAAAGAAACTAAGAAGTGTGATGTAATTTTTAAAGATAATCATTCTAATGGACGTTGTTTGTAAGCATTATTTTATTACGTAGAAGCATGAATTTTCTTACCACTTGGATAAGTGTTCCCACGATACATTGATTTGGTGACCGTCAGGAGATAATTCAGCGAAAATGGTATCTAATAAATGATTTGATCTTGTATACGGCTCTAAACATGCAATTGGGTCACAAATAATTGATTCATCAATGAAAATAACTGAAGCTGTGCATTTTTCAGCACTATCATGAAGAGACTACAAGAAGATAAAAAAAGTTATTTACCTTTATGGTTAACCATAACATAAAGATATAACAGTAAAACAATTTTAGACCATAGAAAAAATGTGCAGACTGAACGTATTTGAATAATAGGTATCTCCAAAGGATTGTTTGCATATAGTCAGAAGGTTTGAACACAACTAGTAAACAAAAATCTTACCTTTTTTCTGCTTACTGCAGCAGGAAAATCAGCAAACAGTGCAGCAACTTTACTACTAGTCTGTCCAAATGAATAAACTTCCTCGACAATCTACAATAGGAAAAGTCAGTCATAAACAACCGATTAACCGCGAGATTTATTTGTCAACTATGAATTTATCGTATGAAAAAGCTTAATACCGTTGGGCATCAGGAAATTAATTGCAGCAAACGGAGTGAGGATGTTGTGAATAAACAAAAGGGGAAAAATAATAATAATGGTAACAACATGATTATTAAAGAATGCTGACCGAATTCGAACACAACCAAGAAAAAAGGACACCAGAACTGCTATTAGCTATTGTTTGTAGCACTAAACAGCAATGCCAGGATGTTCGGAATGTGTTTACCCTTAGGACTGGCCTGCGTCAGCATTTGAACTAAATATAGGGAGTGAAGTAGTCGAACGCGTCAACAACTTCACTTACCTTGGAATTTTTGTCATCCATAAGGGGTTGGTATCTGACGAAATCTCTTAACGGACTCAAAAAAGCTCGTTTGGCTTTTGCCAACTTACGTCACATTTGGCGAATGCGAGACATCTATCTATCAATTAAGGAACGAGTATACTGCGCGGCAGGTAGTTCTGTTTTACTTTACAGCTGAGAAACGTGGTCATTAAGGGTAGAAGATACTCGCGAGTTACTAGTATTTGGTCACAGATGTATTGAATATTGCTCGCATCAGCCGGGATCCCTGGGTAAGTAATAGTGAAGTTAGACGCAGGTTATTAGGGTATGATGGTAAACCAGTTGATGAGGTTATGAATCTACATCGACTGAGAAGGTTGGGTCATATAATCCGCATGTGCGGCCACCGATTACCATAGCGCGAAATGCTGACTAGCGTTGGAGATGGGTGGAAGAAAGTTAGGGGCGGCCAAATCAAAACGTGGCATCAATTATTGAGGTCACTAACTTCGGATATGAGCCACGTTGATAGATGCAGACTACTTGGTTGGGATCCGCGCGACTATCTTATTCAATGGTTGGAGATCGTGTGTGACATGTCTCAGAATCGATCACAATGGAGTGGGTGTATACACACTTTGTCTCTCTTTAAACCGTCAGATCAAATTTACTTTATACCTCTCTTTCTACGAACTAATTCTTTCTTATTGCATTACATCCTTATGCGCAATCTTTCTTCTATATATTACTACCATTGAAGTAACTGACTCTGTGAATTTGGTGTCCATCTTGTTGTGCTGATGAAGTATAGTAACTTGGACTGATACATGTATGTGCCTGGTCTCAAGTTGTAGATGACTGACTGATTGATGTTTGATAACATCGCGAGCCACTGAAGTATGCTTACTGAGACCAAAGTTAGGAAGTTGTGATATGTTAGCACGAGCAAAACTTAAGCAAATACTTTCTAAACTGATGCTAAATAAAAAGGTGACTGCGTCTTAGCTTTTGATAATTATATATTGTTTCTTTTTTCTATGAGCTTGTTATTAGTTTTTATATCTCGGGAACCAAGTGTTTTGCGTAGGTGCGTCTAACATGTACAAATTGTTTTGGTTAGTGTTTGAAATTAGCTTCACTCGTCACATGATACTCTGAAAGACAAATACAGTGACCAACCTTATCATCACTCACATGACATTACCACAGAATTTGAGTGTTTCACTAGAGACAAGAGTGATAAAGCACATTTTCCGAACATCCTAAGCTAAAATAAACCATCTTTTGCAAGTGGGAATACGAAAAGTTGAGCATTACTTCAACCTTAGTTTCTAGAAATCTGATATCTATGAAACCATGTTACTACCATTTACAAACTATCTAATATTCTCAAAACCCATGAAGTCTAAGTTCAGAAAATTCTTTTATTAAATTAAAAATAGAATACCGCACGGGAGATTTTGAATAGTAAATCAAACTAAGTGATATACCTGGTTAATAAAATATACTGAAGAGTAGCAACTTACCTTCAAGGACCAGAAGATGCTGTTGATTTCATAAAACGCAGGACAGTGATTTTCTGAACCCTGCCTAGCATTTCTATAATAACTTGCATACTTACGGGAAGTAAAGCGTGCGATTTTGGAAGGACATACAAATTTCTGAAAGCATCTCGTGGAGTACTAAAAACGAACTCTATTTTGCAAGTAAGCAGTTTGTTCTGGTAACATAAGTAATTAATGTGTAAATTAGTTACGTCTTTAGACAAATACTGCACATCATACTCCGGATATTCGTTCACATGAGGTAACTTGAAAAGCTCACAATTCCCAGTAGCTTCTACAGTGGACAATATAAGAGAACCTGAACGCTTTCCATTTTCATACACAACAGACGTAATCTGTTCAAGAAGCGAATTTGTAAATGGAGAGGATACGATGAAAATGAAGGTTTTGTTGACTAGTTCCTGTAGAATTTATTATTATTACAGTAAATTCTACCTCAGTGACGTCATAAATGGGAAATATGTTTTTTACGCCAGAACACAACAGACATGAACTAAATTTTTCAAATGCAACAGACTCTAGAATAACATAATCGACCCCCTTTAATTTTCCTAGAAGATCCTTTAAGACTGAGGAACGCATAGATTTGAAATGCGTACTGATTCAGTGTACAATTCACCAGTGAGCTCCTTGTACTAGTGTCTTGATATTAAAAGAATGACTTCAGGCCTTCAAAAACCCTAGGTCAAGTGAATCTAACTATTCAGCTGCAATTTCTTAGCTTACTAAACATGTAGTAGGACCTGGATTTTTGTAAGTCTATTTTGAATGAATAGTTTTGTTTCTGTACAAAAAAAGCCGGTAAGACATTTTTGGTTAAACTCTTGTGTTCGGAATCGTATGATGAACAGTTCTATAAGCCAGTTGACTGTATTTTTCAGAGGCTTAGGAGAGTGAACGGGAAAGGAGCGAGAAGCGAAGAGCTGAGGAAGGAAATGATGTGCAAGATGTACGGTATTGAACAGCGGAGATAGTAAGCGCCGATTACAACTCCTCGTGATAATAACACTTTCAAAGCATTCCAGCTTGTGGCAGCAAACAGCTCTCTAAAACCAATCACTTCATAGACACCGGGTATTGATATTGGTTTTTTAGCTGCTACAGAAACTATTAGCTGAATATGGTCGGTCAATCATCGAGGTTATGTTTCGGCATAGCTTGCATGCGACTCTTCTCCTTCTCCAGATGCTTAGTTTAGAAATTTTAGGTCTCGCCATCCCTTGCGTTGTTGAATTTTTTTCATGATCATAAACGAGTGAGTTTTGGGGTTGCTGTACATTAGTTTGTAGCGTGGCGTCGAGTCGTGATTGACTATGAACACCGCTACAAAGAAACACGTGCCAAGTTAATCAGAAGGCGAAGGTTGGACGTAACCAAATAAATCCATAAAATCCCCGAGAAGCCAAATATCAGAAGACAGTTAATGGACCAAATCGAGATGTATTCGCTGGCGATCTCGTGGCATCGAAAGGATACCGAGATCGTGCCAGAATACAAGCTTGGTTACAGAACGTAACCGAATTCGCGCGAAGTTACAATCAAAGTGTAAGTATAAGAATGGAAGCACAAAATAGCTGTCATTAGCACAGTCAAACAAAAGCACGTTAAAATAAGCACTGGTACAGTTGGTTATAATAATAATTGTTTTTATTAAACCAGTCGTGTTCTCGTGACAAATGTGAGTCACTACAAGTTAAACAAAGCAAGATAAACAATTTAAATTTTCTTTCATGGGTTCACCAATACTTCCGTATGTTGTCTTCAGTATCAACCTAAGACATCATTGTTGACTGCATTTTTATTTCTGCGGTGCTGAACTACATACACATAACGCTGAATAATAACAGACTGTACATCACTGACCCACTCGTCATATTCCGCAATACACATACATCTACAAGCAGAATTTCATTCCACGAAATATCACTCCTACATATGTTTGAGTTTCACTTGTTATATTTTTGTGTATGTATATCCTTTTCTCCCTAATTCGTTTTGCATACTGGTGTTACCTCTGGACACAATGGGGGATCTGTGTGAGGATTATGCGATTATTAGAAGTATTTGAATTTATTATACGAACTAAAAATCCCCGGAATAGCACAATTTAACCGATAAGAACGACATGAGCACTTATTTAGAATTCGCAATTAACGCGCAAGCAGGTGCAAAGGAATCATTTGTTCATACAAATACCACAACCATCACAGTTTGAATTAAAGTATAAGTTTCTATAAACGATTGTACTTCTCCTTAGGTTCATCATGTATCTTTCCGTCTGTGTATTGGATATAGACTCTTGACGATCTAGAATGTACTCATCAGTATCAAAATTAACAACCAAAGTTGGAATGGGCTCACCCGGTTCCTAGATTTGCTTTTGATCAACATATCGGCCGTGTGTACTCAAATCACTGATATCTATAATCCCCACCGTAGACTTTTTGAAATTCTTCATTGCAATCCCCGGGGCTGGTCGAAGATCACTTACACAATAATATTTAACTTTTTCAGACTTCAAACACTTCACAATCGAACGAAGAAACCTTCCTTTCAATAATTTTGATGGAGTCTCTTTCATTAGTGTTTAAAAATTGTTTAAAAATTCTATATTGCAGTAGAAATGTATCCACTACCCTCTCCAGTTTATTAACCAATGAAGCATTAATGGAATTAATGACAGTTTTCAATGTCCTGATAAAATCTTCTGCCTGACCATTAGAACAAGAGCGGATGTGAACAGCGAACGGGTGTTTGCACCCTATACTATTCAGCCAAGCACTGGCCACATCCGCTGCAAAACGGAAGCCGTTATCAGTCGCCAGCATCATTGGGGAACCCTTCTCGACAAAGCCTCTTTCTAAGCGCTTCGATCGTAAAGTCAGTATTTGAAGCTGTGAAAAAATATTCAGGCCATTTTGTAAAAGAATCAATGATCACGAGTGCATATTAGTTGCTGAGTAATGAATCACAATAGTCTGCATGAATTCTCTGCCAGGCCTCAGACGATACTGGCCATGTAGTCTACTTCAAAGAATGATCTTTGACATATGACATCTTACACAATTATTTGTCGTGAGACATATATCTGCATTTGTCATCAGCCATCAACATGTGAGCTTTTGACAAGGACTTTATCTTCTAGACGCCCTAATGCAAACTATGGAGATCGTCAAAGACAGATGCTCGGAATGAACGAGGAATAGCAACACCATTATTTTTACACAAAATATTATCAGGAGTAGTGGATAACGCATCCCACTTTGAAAAATATACTGGAAATCTACGTTTCAGACTATCATTCAAGCCTTTTCGCATGACACTGAATATAAAACAAAGGTATCGACGAAATTTTGTAATGAGACCTGGACATGTCACTGGTAAAGGTTGCATTTACAGTCTGAAGTATCAACAGGCTATTCTTGTATTGATTATCGAGATATGTAGTCAACATGTTGGTTTTTTTGGCACTTCTGAGCTGAATCATATAGTCAAAGGCACTCAAAGCAATATTCCATCGTTGAACCATAGCAGCTGAGAAACGTACTAATGATTTTTCGGGGTGATAAATGAACTTTAAAACTTCATGATCAGTAACAATAGTGAATTTCTCCCCGAATAAATATTTATGAAGTCTTTTGACAGTCCAAAACACAGCTAGTGTTTCTCGCTGAGTTTGTGAATAACCTTGTTCAGCAACAGTAAGTTTGCATGAAACGCAGATAAATGATCCACCTCTCTGCCCCGAAACTGCGCCAATAACCACAGGTGTTGCATCACAAGTGGTACAGAATGTACATTAGGTAAGTTCGAAGGAAAGCATCACTTTGAAGAAACCTCAGTAGACCTCGTAAGCAGGACTTTTGTTCCTCACTCCATTCAAATGAATTGGATAGTACATTTGTCAGTAGGGCAAAAAGCTTTCTATCTGGTCCAAAACCATTACCATCAACTAGGTATCCAAGAAATTCAAAACTAGATACACAAGTGAGCACTAATTTAGATTCACTGTTATATTGTTCTCAATTAAACGAAGCAATAAAGCAATAAATCTCTGGTCATGAACTACCTTATTAGAACCATGAACAATGAGATCATCTTGATAAACTTCAAAACCTTCAAGATCACTAACTACCTTATTCATCACTTCCTGAAATATGGCTAGAGAATAACTAAGACCAAGTTGAAGGAAGTTGTATTTGATCAGACCAAACGGAGTGTTAATTGCCCTGAAGGGATTTGAAGATAAGCTACTTTTAGGTCAACTGTCGAAACACTTTAGAGCCGTGGAGCTGATTTAGAATGGCTTCAGCTTTTACCGTCGTGAATGTTTTAATAAACGGGAGTTCAGTGTTAATCTATAGTCACCACGTATTCTAGGGATCTTGCCACTCGACTTCAAGGGATTAACGATAGAAGTACTCCATGCTGAAGACTAAGTCGGTTCAATTATACCTTTCGCACACAAATTGTTCAATGTCATATGTACTGTTTCTGGAAGACCATAGGGAATTATTCGTCTTTTAAAAAGGGTTGGATCACTCTGTACTTGACGTTTCATAGGCTGAAGTCCCATCCCTGCACTGCACCTAGCACACGCATCAGAATCTTCACAGCATCCTCGTACTGGCAGTATGTGTCCAGTAATCCCTAATATTGAGAATTCATCCGGTCGTACCTTGTTACGATTTAGATATTTCAAGTTGTTAAATGAAGTAATGGACTCTGTACTGCCTGTGTCAACAATAAATTCATGGATTGTACTAACGGACATACATAGTCGCCCTCGGATACGAACATTAATTTTTAAAAATGGTAGATAAAGATAAGTGATTATCAGTGACACCTGAATTAATGGTATCTACTTCACAAGGTTTAGTACTACTTGACGCAAAATGGACAGTAGTTTTTGAATCGAGACTAAATGTGTCCAATCTTACAACATTTAATACATTCAGCATAACGAAATACACATAAATTACGAGAATGGAATTTGCCACAGGATAAACACTTACAAAACTTGCGATCACCTTTTTGGTCCGCTTTGCAACTCCTTGTTGAATCACCTTTTACTTTTTCACGAGAACAGGGGTCACTATGAAAGAAACGCGAGTTTGATCGATCCTGAAAGTGTATTTCACTATGGCTACTGAGTAAAGAATTCGAAAATATGAACGACTGGATATCAAGTTCATTCATTGCTTCGTAGTTGATACATACAATTCTAGCATCTTGATAGAACAGTTCAGTATTCTTAAAAGCTCTCTTTCCAGACCTGGTATGTCGATCTCTAAAATTAGTCGACCCCGCAGCTGCACATGAAGTTGACCACCAAAATTGCATTTGGGAGCTTGTTTTTGCAACTCGAGGATGGATTCCCTAACCTTCTGGTTATTCTGGATAATAATCTTATGAAATTTCGCTCTCTCACGACATACGAAACTGTGCACTTTACATGATTTAATAATAGTTCCTTAACTGTTGCCTAAGGAAGTGAGATATACTTTTCCGGAAGTGCAAAAGCTTTTAATAACCTGTAGGCTTCTTTTCTAATGAATTTGAGGAAATATACCACAATTTTATAACCCTCCACAGCTTTCTTGGTCA